GGTGGGAGGCAGGCACGCCCCTCGGGGCCACCCAGGTGTTGCGTGGTGGCAATGGTGGTGAACTCAAGACCCCATAGAGAACGGCATGATTCCACCTCCATCTTTCTGTGACAGGGTCTCACTCTGTTGCCCAACATCAGGCTCAAGGGATCCTCCTGCCTCAGCCTCCCAAATAGCTGGGACGGCAGGTGCTACCACTGCCCTGGGCTTGGCCTGGTTCCCCTCTGCAGACTGGTCCTGTGGAAAAACTCACTGGGCACGGCCGGGGCTCCTGAGCTTTTAAAGAGAACCACAAAGTCAGTTTTTTTCCATGAAAATGTTTTCCAATTTAAAAATGTCAGCAAGTTCCTCACTGTTTGGTGCTCATTGCTGACATATCTGTAGTAAAGGGCGTGGTGAGTGGCCAACAGCCCACAGGACACGTAGCCAGTGTTCCCTTCATCATTCAGGGCCCTGCGCTCAGGGTCAGAGCCCCGTGCTTGAGCTTCTGCTCTGTTGAGGCAGTTTTGAAATTATAAATAACTTTTAAACAAGGGCCAAAGTTTCCTCTTTGTGCTGCAAATTATGTAGCTGGTCCCAACTAGAGGGAAGGACTGAACCCACCTGTGGAGGAAGGGCAGAGTGGAGGCCAAGCTTCAAACACAAGGCCAGTTGTCTCCCAGCCCAGGGAGGACATGGACAGTGTAAACAAAAGGCTGGTCACAGCAGGGGTTGAGTCTGGTTGTGAGCAGTGTAGTTGTATGAGACTGGTGTATGTGTGTGTGTGTGGTGTGATTGTCACACAGAAGCATATATGCATATGTGGGTTAGAAGTGTGAGTGTTATGGGCAGGGGTGTGTTATATGTAGCAGTGGGTGATGGTGCTTGAGTGTGTGTTATGGGTACAAGTGTATTATATGTAGCAGTGGGTGATGGTGCATGAGTGAGTGTGGGTGTGTTCTGGTGTGTGGTGTGAGTGTGTGGAAGGGGTGGCCAGGGCAGGGAGAGTCACAGGGCAGTTTGACAAATATTTATGGAGCACCTTCTGTGCGCCAGGCGCTGTGCGCTGTGCGCTGTGCAAGGCGCGGAGTTGAGCAAGCCCAGTACTCGCCCCAAGGCGCTCAGGACCCAGTAAGGGAGGGAGATGTGTAAACAGATAACCACAGCAAACGAGCAGACTGATACAAACCCCTTTATAAAAATTCCAGCTCTGCCCCCACTTTGTTGACCGGCCTTGTAAATTGGGTTTCTCCCAAGGGGTGAGAGGGGTGGAGCTTTGTGGGATTCTGGGCACCAACCCCGGGGAGGCCCAGGGCAGCAAACTCAGCCCCCCTGGGTCTGGACCCAGCCCCCTCTGGGCACACCCAAACACGGGAGGGGTGACCTCCCTCTGACCTGCCTAGCAACACACCCAACCCTGGAGAAGTCGATAAGAGGTAACCAGCAGCTCAGGGCAGGATATAAACAGCCCAGCCCCACCCCCAGTCCAGGACACACCTGAGGGGACCCAGGGCAGGTGGGCAAGAGACAGGGCCACCTCTGAGGGTGAGTCCATCCCAAGGCTCCCAGTTGGGTAAGGATAACTGGCTCCTAACACAGAGAGCTCTGGGGGAGGGGCCGAGAACAGCTGGCCTAGGTGTATGTGGGCGCTCTGGTTTTCTGAGGGTGGGAGGGCAGAGAGCAAGATATCTTGGGTAAGGGGAGAAAGATATCTTGAGTAAGAAACGTGTCCCTGGTCCAGGCTCTGCCCCAGGCACAGGCAAGCACATTGAGTTCTGGTCCCTACTCTCCCCTGGCCAGTGACCTTGGGCTAGGCTCTGGCTTCATCAGAGAAATGGGACGCCCAGTCTCCTCAGAGGCTGTGGGGCGGATCCAGTGAGATAATGGGATGAAGAAAGTGCCTCATAACAGAAGACAGCAGGACAGAGGTCAGCAGGCGGTGTGGACCTCGCAGCTGTTCTCAAGCCCTTCTGCAGGGCTTGAAGGTACTAGGCGCCATATGCTCAGCCCTCCAGCTCCGCACATGCTCTCTGGTTGAAACTCACTGCTGGGATCTCCTTTGGGACCTGAAGAAATGGAGGACCTAAGGAGGCCTATCAAGTGTGTCTTGGTCACTTTTGGCTGGGTGATCTTAGGCAACTTTGGGTCACCTCTCTCAAGCTTGAAAAGGACCCTGGAGATAATATGGTAGAGCAAATAGCACAGGATAAACTGCCTATGAAATTTCAAGAAATGAGGTTGCTGTTATGCTAAGTGGTTACCAAAGTTCCCCAGCTAAGTGGCCTTCTCGTGGGAGCCAGGCCTGCCTGAACCGGAGCCCTCGCCCACCTCTCTCTTTGGCTAACTTGCTCACTATGGTCTCCAAGCGCCCCACTCTCCTTTCCACCACTTGCTGTTTCTCCAGAGCAAGCTCCGTGCTCACGTGCCCACCACCATGTCTAAGAGCCCTTCTTTGTCAACATCCGTTCAGCAAATAATGTGATATTTCCAAGACAACTGAGCAGTATTTCAAATTTATAGAATGGATTATTCATGTGCCCTGTGGAATCCAAAGCCTTGAACTTAAGTAACTTTCCACTTGGAGACTATTCTTCATAAGTAGACCTATGGACAGTCCCATCAATGAAATGTTCTCCCTAACATCAGATACATGCTAGGCATGGGAACTCAGGAGGCTAAGGCAGGAGGATCTCCATTTTGAGGTCAGCCTGGGCATTTATAAAGACCCTGTCTCAAAAAAAAAAAAGACTGGGGATGTATTCAGTGGTAGAGTACCCCCTAGGTTCAATCCCAATACCATATATCAATAATCAATCAATCCATCCAGAGTCATCACTGTGGAAACAGTAATGCAGTTCTGGAATCTGCTGAGGATTGGATTAGAAGTTAGTGAGGTTGGAGAAGCTCCCTGGGGTAGGGTAAAGGACAGAACCCAAGTACATCGACCAAACCTTGTGCTCTGAAACTGTAAAATGGGAACCTTAAGTCTCTCTTCTTAGGAGAAGATGCAGAGTGGCTTTAGCTCAGTGCCTGGAAGAAGACTCAGTTGTCAATAAATCTCAATTCCTTCCCCTATTCTTTCTCAGCAAGCATCCTCTCCATTTTGCTTTGCTTTCTCCCCTTCACAAGATCTTAACTCTGATTTCATATCAGGCACAGAAGCGAGGATTCATGTTACAGACATTCAACTTGCAGCCAACTTAGCTGGAATGCAGAGGCCCCTCTTTATTCCACAAGGCTGGACATGCAATTCTCGATGTCTTGGAGAACATCAGGTCCAAACCCCTGTCCTTCAGGAGGAAGCAGCCCCAGAGGGCAGATGTGGCCGAGGTCACTGAGCACACGTGTGGTGGTGGCAGCCTCTGAAACTCACGTCCTTGATTGTGTGACCATCTTGCACACCTTCCCTGTCGTGAACAGCCTTACCTGTCCTCTTTGCCCCAAGTCAGGGTCCTACCAGCCCCACTCTCCTGTTTCCCAGCCCCCAGATGCTCTGTCTTCCCCCTCTGTCCCTTAAGACCCCTTTCCCAGCTCAGGCCTATCTGATCCGGAGGCCTAGATGTCAGTACACAGAGAGCAGAGACAAAGGTTAGAAAAACCTAGAAGGCGCTTTATTGGAGGTCTCGGCCTCCATTCACAGGAGAAAGGAGCCAGGACCCCCATCTTGAGGGGTCTGGCTGCAGCCCTCCTCTCACTGGCCAGGCAGGGTGACAAGTCTGGCCACAAGTGCTCAGTGAGAGAGGAGGGGGGAGGGGAATGCCTTAGAAAAAATAGATCTCTATGTACATCTGACGTATTTATAACACATAAATTAGGGATGCTCTGACCCCCCGCCGTGGAGCCCAAGCACTGAGTAGAGAGGTGGAAGCCAGTCCAGAAAGGAGGGGCTGGAGGACACTGCCTGTCCCCTCTATCCCAGGGCTCCCCAACAGTCTCCATGGCTGAGTCCAAGCATCTGCCAGGGAAGGTGTCATCGGCAGCAGCGTTGGGATTGGAAGCAGCCAACGAGCAGCTGTAGAGTCAGCGAGCAAGTCGCTTCAAACCCCAGGGCTTATAATTCCAGAAGGAGGACAGAGGAGAGGCTGCAGGCCCCGCTCCAGGACAGGCCTGACCACACACCAGACTTCGGCTTCTCCACAGCTCTGCAGGGAGCACATCCAAATGGAGGGGCTTCCAAGCCTGCCTGGCCTCCAGGAGGGCTGCAGGCCTCAGTCCAAGTCCATGAGTTTGGTCCTGGTCTAGTTCAGCTCCTCAGTTCCGACTCTGAACCACCTCTTCTTCCTTCCAGCCACTGGAGTTTTTGCCAAACTTGTAGACCAGTCGGCGGCCATCCACCCGTTCCAGGATCTCGCGTTTGTAGTAGTACCTGGACCAGAGGCGAGGTGGTCAGAGGTGCGCAGGCAGGAGACGTGGCCTGCGCTGCAGCACATCCCACATAGCCCAAGTCCTCGGCTGATCTGTCCCCTCTGGTCTGCAGCCAGACCCACCTGAGCCTGCCCCATACTTCCTGGACTGCTCTTCCCATCTGCTGCGGCCATACCGGCCTATCAATGTCTGCAGGGCACCTGCTTCTGCACTGGTTTGTCTATAGCTTATGGCCACATCCTGGGCCTTTTCATGAAGGCACATGGTGCAGGCTGAAGGGAGCCTAGAGATGAGCGAGGCCATCATTGTGGCAACAGGAGGAAACTGAAGCCCAGAGACAAACAAGCAGAGCCCTGGCCCAGGCATGGCCGTGGTCTTTCCAGCACTCTCCAGGTGCCTTTCTTAGGACCACCTTGCAAATAACACATATGTCAGCTGAAGTCACGGTGCCTGCAACGTGCCAGGCTAACACTTTCTCCGTGCTACCATTTGACCCCCCAGGTCAGTGGGCAACTTCACCGTCCTCACTCCACAGGATTAACACTTACTACATGGATCCCAGGGGTGACAGAGGGGGGGGGAGGGGGGAGGGGTACACAAACAACCGGTCAGATCAACAAGTTCCCGGATGTCCAGCTCAGTCATGAGCCCCATGACTCTCATGAGCATCTCACCTCATGGCCCGGCTCAGCTTCTCATAGGTCATGTTGCTGTTTTTTTTCTTTTGGCCCCACAGTTGGGCCACAGCCTCAGAGCGCAGGAACTTGAAGACACCCTCGTGCCGGTTCTCCCACTTCATGAGGCCTTCGTTGAGCTCAGGGTGGATGAGGATGTCCCGGATGAACTCCCACAGGTGGGTGCCTCTGGGGGCTACAAGGCCACATCCCTTCAGTCAGCAGGCCAGGGCAGCCCCTCTCACCAGGCCGGCTGACCCTAACCCTAACCCTGCACACTGCTGACTAATGGCCAGAGCAGGAAACCAAACCTTCCAGAAACCGGCTACAGTGCCCTTGGAGTGTGTATTGTAGCGAGCACTTTCCTCCTCATGTCCTCTTAGACGAGGCGCTCCAGGAAGACTGGACACCTCTTGCACAGCACAGATGTTTCACTCCTGACAATACTGATCAAACATCTGGCTGGCATGGATGGTGACAAGGACCCCTATGGCCTCTGGGGGCTCATGGCTTGGTGGGGGGCCTACAGAGAAACCCATGGTGAGAGCTTGCTGAGTATGGGAACAGGCTGGGGGACCAGGGGACAGCTTCCTGGAAAAATACACTCCCCCACAGAAACCAGCTATATGTGCATGCAAGCAAGCATGCAGGCAAGAGAGGCCTTCAGGGCAATCTCCCAGAGGCTCAAAGCTGCTGGAGCACACAATGCCTGAGGCCCCTTCCCCACCCTCAGCAGGTTGGTGTCCAGTGTCTCAGCCCAGTGGCTCTAGGGTCCCCCCCAGGCACCCACCAGCTGCCTCCACCCACCACCTAGGGTGTCCCAGCAGGCAGGACAATGGCTAAGTGCAGACAGAACTGGAGTGGGTGGACTGGAAACATGAACACTCAAGCCCTGGGCCTCCCTCAGGAGCCTCGTTTCCCCTCCTCATCAAGACCACATGGTAGTCCCTGCAGTGAGGCCTGGACCAGCGCCATACAGCCCTCCTCCTCCCCGCTGGCGCAGCAGCAGGGAAGCAGAGCAGAGGTGGCCTGCCGCCCACCAGCAGGCCAGGGCTCACCCACCGTGCTTGCTCTTCTTGCCCTCCAGGCACTCCCAGTACTCCTTGCTCAGCTTCCGTGGGCGGCCCCGTTTCCGCTTTCCGTGCTTGCTTTCCCCCTTCTTATAGTCAGGAAATCCATCTATGGGGGACAGGTGGGAGGTCAAGAGGGTGGTCACTGGGGGAGCAGCTCCTATCCAGAAAGCCCTGCAGGAGCAGGGAGGAGGGAACGGGACCCCCAGGGCCTCCCTCTGCTCACCTCTGGGGAAGAGCTTGCTGTCAGTGGGGTCCAGGTCCACGTCACTTCCACCGGAGTCTGAGGAATGGAGGCTCTGGGAAGTACCGGTCCCTGGGCGGGAGGTTAGAGTGAGTGCCTGGCTGCCACACAGGACCCAGACGCCTGGGTTCCAGTGCTGGGACCCAGGCCCTGGGGTCCCTGGGGGAGGGAGGCTGCGCTCTCACCTGCGGTGGAGACGTCAGAGCTGCCAGGGGAGGGGGCTCCTGCGCCATAGCTGCCTGCGTAGTAGGGGCTGGCCTGGTGGCCGTCTTCCAGCAGCTCCTGGGTGAAAGGGCTTCCCTGATCTGAGGGGAAGAGGAGAGAGGGCTCAGGGGACCAGGCAAGGGCAGGTAAGGCTCCGGGGCCTGATGAGCTGCTGCCGGGCCTTTTCTAGTTGGGGTAGGAGGCCTGGGGAGGGGCCGTTCCTCTCACTCTAGGTAGGGCCAGGAATGGGACAGGACAGGTAGACCTGGGCATGGGGGAGAAAAGGAGCCTCACCAAAGGGGCCGGGGTCTCCTAGGGTGTCCTGGAAAGCCATGCCATCCTTCTCCAGAAGCTCTATGATCCAGCTGAGTTCGTCAGAAGAGCTGGAAGCTGAGGAGCAGGAAGGAGGGGTCACTTCCCTTGCCCCTCCCTCGGGCCCTCTCTGGCTGCGCCCTCCGGCCAGGCTCCAGGTCTTGCCCAGGGCTGACCCTCTCCTCCCTTCCAAGGCCCCTGTGGCACCAGTGGCCTGCACTCACTGAGGTCCCGCAGCTGGGCATGGAGGTGGTCCCCCAGAGGCCCAAAGACCAGGCGCAGCTCGTCAAGGGCACAGTTGCAGAGGGTGGCCCCGTCCATGTCACACCGAGAGAAGTCAATGGAGCTGGCATCGTATTTGTTCTTCTCCACTTGGTAGCTGATCCAGTCCAGAACCTGGGCCTTCGACCAGAACTGGGGCTGCTCCCCCAACCAGCTGGCCTTCTCTGCAAGGGGCCAGCACAGCAACCAGGTCAGCACAGGCCCCATTTCTGGTGCCCCTTTGGGATTCTTTTTTTTTTTTTGTACCCAGTATTGGACCCAGGGGTGCTTGACCACTGAACCACATCCCCAGCCCCTCCACTTTTTTTTTTTTTTCCCCTGAGACAGGATCTCACTAAATTGCTTAGGGCCTCAGTTGCTGAGTCTAGCCTTGAGCTTGTGATCCTCCTGCCTCAGCTTCCCAAGTTGCTGGGATTAAGGCCTGTGCCACGGCTCCCAGCCCCTTTGGGATCCTGTGTGCACTCCCACCTCATTTCTCAGGAAGCCTCCCCAGGAACAGGGGGAGAATGTGGCTTTCATGACACCCTGGTCCCAGTATCCTCTCTTGGCCCATCACAGTCCCCACAATCCCCACCACCTCAGCCCCTAGTCCTGGAATTCACTTGGAACCCTCCTCCCCGTCCGCTTCCCCATTTATCTAGCAGAGAGCCGTGTCTCCCTCCGTCCCTGAAGGCACCCCATCCCACGTCACACACCTGTCCCCTCCAGCGACATCTGTGGGTTGCTCAGGGTTAGCACCAAGTCATCAGCCCCAAAGGTGGCAGCAGGGGGAGCAGAGGCCAAGCTGGGGTCCTCGGAGCTGTACATAGCACTGAAGTAATTGCTGAAAACGTTGCTAATCTCACAGGTTGCAGCCATGAGGCTACCTGGGGAGAGGGGACAAGGTTGGTGAAGGTTCCAGACTCCTCCCCTTACATCCTGGCTGCTCTCTTCTGGCCAAACCTGGGCAGGAGCCACCCAAAGGGGCAGCAAGGTCAGCATCTGCGTGCTCCCTCTCTTCAAAAAGGGCTTCTAGATTCAGAGCAAAGTGTGGCTACTAGACCCTCCTGCTGGGGCTCCCTGCTCGGATCGCCCAGAGCCCTTAAGTGGGAGCTTCCAAGTCCTTGTCCCTCCTACAGACGGGATACTCTGACTCTCAGGACCCCCCTACTGCCGCACACTCCTGCTGGGAAATTCCAGACTAGAGGGGGCAGGTTCAGAGCTGCAGATCCACTAAACCATCCCTGGTTTCCCGGATGGGAACGTGACAGGTGGGGGTCCTACCGGGTGGCAGGGTGCGGGCGTCAGGCAGGCAGGCAGGCTTCGGAGGTCACAGGTGGAAGAGAAATCCAGGTGGCCAACAGCTCGGCCAGGTAGCAGTGAGGAGTCTGGCCCCTGTGCTCCCCCACCCGTCCTATATAGAGCCGCAGGAGCTCCTCCCCACACCAGGTCTTCGGAGTTTGTCCCGGCGGTAACCTGAGCTGGTGGCTCATTGGATGGAGGGGATTTCCTGGCCTTCAGACTGGGCTCCTGGCCCCAGGTGATTTGCATATTCTGTGCCACTTGGCCCGGATCCTAGCAGGCGGTGCTGGGAAATCAGGCCCGGCTGGTTTAATGATTGTCAGACTCTGTCATCCTGCACCCTCTGGGGTTGGGCCCAGGGCTCTGACCTGGGCAGGTGGTGGGAATGCCACTGGGGTGGGCATCTGTGCTTCTGGCCACCCTCTGGCTCAGGAAATTCCTCCTGGGGGCCAGGTTAGGGATGGGCTAGGGAGGGGAAAAGGTAAGTGGGGAAACCAGAACCCCTGATTGAACCCTGGCCCTGCCTCTAACTGTCCAGAGAACTGGGGACAAAGGAGCCTAGGAGGAGAGAAGTTATTGAGGTTTAGGGATTTTCTCCACAACACCCAGGATTTGGAGTGAAGGACGACTCTCCAGACTCCTTGCAAGGCGATATTCATGGGCTAATGGGTGTGGCCTGTCCTGCAGGTGTAGCCCCCAGGCTCCAGGGTCCCTAGCCTCGGAACCCATTCACAGGGTCCACTTCATTTTTTGCCTGCCTAGGCCCCACCCAAGCATCAGGGTTTTTGCAGCCACTTATGGTAAGATGGGGCTGTACTTAACAGTCCTCCCTCAGCTGGACATGGTGGCCAAAGCCTGTAATCCCACCCTACCCTAAGGCTGAGGCAGGATTACAAAAGTTTGAGGCCAGCCTCAACAATTTACCTCAAAAAAAGTTAAAAGGCCAGGGGATGTAACTCAGCGGTAGAGCACCCCTGGGTTTGATCCCCAGGACCACCACAAAACAAACAAGCAAGCCCAAAACCTTCCTCAGATGCCTAATTTAGTAGCCTTCCCTGTTTACCAGTACCTGTCTGCTGCCCTCTACTGGTCAGAAGCCTGACCCCTGGGTCATGTCATTCAGAGAAGGGAATCCTGTGGCATCAGTTTCCTATTTTGTCAAGCTCTTTGTTTTTGCAGTACGGGGATTGAACCCAGAGCACTCTGCCACAGAGCCACATCCTCAGCCCCTTTCATCTTTTATTTTGAAACAGAGTCTTCCTAAGTTGCTTAGAGCCTTGCTAAATTGCTGAGGCTGGCCTCAAACTTTCCATCCTTCTGTCTCAGCCTTCCAGGTCACTGAGATTGCAGGCATGTGCCACCACACCCAGCTCTCCAATACTTTTTATTTTTTGAGTCAGGGTCCCACTAAGTTGCAGAGCCTGGCCTCAAACTTATGCTCTTCCTACCTTAGCCTTCAGAGAGGCTGGGATTATAGGTTTGTACCACTTGCCCAGCTTACCAAGCACTTTTAACATAAAAATCTTCACACACAAAAATCCAGTAAGCAATGTGCATCTTTTTTTGTTTTATTTTGAAATGCTGGGATTGAACCCAGGGTCTTGCACATGCACTGCGCTACCACTGAGTTACATCCCTAGTTGAGACTCACTAAATTGCCCAGGCTGGCCTTGAACTTGCAATCTTCCCCCTCAGCCTCCCAAGTAGTTGGGGTTATAGGTGCACACTACTGCACCTGGATAGTTACCTTCATTTTAAAAAAATCTATTTTTTAGTTGTAGGTTGACACAATACCTTTATTTATTTACTTATTTTTATGTGGTGCTGAGGATCAAACCCAGTGCCTCACAAATGCCAGGCATGCGTTCTACCTCTGGGCTACAACCCCAGCCCTACTTACCTTCATTTTATAGGTGAGAAAAATGCAGCTCAGAGGGGTGGAATGGCTTGCCCAGGCCAATGAATTAGGTAGATGGTAAGGCTGGGAAAGGAACCAGGTCCCTGCACTCTGAGCCTCTGGCTGCAGTTCTCCCCCTCAGTCTTGGATGGAACCCTAGCCTCCCCTGTGGCGGAGAGTCCCACATACCTGTGCTTCTATGAATTGAGCTCCAAATACAAGAGACAGGTCCCACAGACCCACCCCTGGAGACCCTGAGCAGAAGTAACAGGATGAAAGGAGGTGGGAGATTAATGTTCTAGAGTCTGTTCTATGTGATCTTGGGCAAGGTGCATGGATTCTGCACATCTCCTTCTTTAAAAATAATGTTTGGGGCTGGGGTTGTGGGTCAGTGGTACAGTACTTGCTTCAGTAATAAAGCACTTGTCTAGCATGCATGGGGCACTGGGTTCTATCCTCAGCAGCACATTAAAAAAAATTAAACTAAATAAACAAAATAATGTAGTTGTGTCCATCTACAACTAAAAATATTTTAAAAAATGATAATGTTTGGCTAAGTAAGGTGACACACGCCTGTAATCCCAGTGACTCTGGAGGCTGAGGCAGTAGGATCGTAAGTTTAAGGCCAAGCTGAGCAACTTAGCAAGACCATGTCTCAAAAATCAGGGAACGGGTTGGGGATGTAGCTCAGTGGTAGAGTGCCCCTGGGTTTAATCCCAAGTACCATGCCAAAAAGAAAGAGGTTGTTTGGAATAAATAATCCTTAAGGTCTCTTCTAGCTCTTTGTTTTGTGTGGTGCTGGGCCTGGAACCCAGGGCCTGGTGAGTACCCTACCACTCTACACCCTCAGCCTCAAACTTTATTCATGCATCTGAGATACAGGGTGTGGTTCTCCTCCCCATCCCCTTAATTGACAACACAATAGTGGGGGAGGGGGTATTTTCACAGGTCACTTTAACATAAGGTGACTCATGATTCCACATCCAGGTACCCCTCTCTGACTTGATAACTGGAGGATTTGCTTCTCATCTTTCTTGTCTCTGAAACTACTGGGTGCCTAGGAGAGAGGGTTCTTAATGTCCAGAGTCCCCTTCACTGGGCCAGGGGTGGCAGGAGAGCCAGGGGCTCTGGGCAGGATTATTTTCAGCCCTTCAGGGGGCCACCCCCAAGGAGCCCAAGGCAGGCACACCCTCTACCCAGTCACTCACCCTGGAATGTGGGAGAACCGGCTGCAGCCCCAGGGCTGCTCACATGCTCCCGCCTGAAGAGCACCTGGCCAGGGCTCCAGAGGCAGGGTGAGGAGGAGGCACAGAGCATAATGAGAAGGCCACCAGCAACCCTGCCTTCATGAGGCTTCTCCACAGAAGAAATGGAGCTGAGGAAATCCTGCAGGCTCGCACCTGTCCAACTATTAGTGCCTTCAATAACCAAATGAAGCAGGAAAATAGGAAAGACTTGGACTTGGGGTCAGTGCCTCAGAGGGCTGAGGAGGTTCCAGGACTGTGGTCAGACCAGCTATGGAGCAGGAAGCAAGGGGCCTTCCAAATACCACAGTGGCACAGCCTCACCCTCAGGACAGGAGGATGGCAAGAGGATAGCCCCCAGCCCTTTAAAGGACAGACATACTCAGCAAGACAGCAGGGAGCAAAGGTGGCGTGCCCATACTATGAAACAGAAGGACTCACCAAAAGCAAGTGCGACAGAGAAGGCTGCAGAGGAAGCACTCCCAGCCTTGGCTTCCAGGACCCTTCGTATTTACTGGACTCATCCATGTTACAGGGTTTTAATACAGAACAAGGCTACTGGTCTCAGCTGATATGCTAAACACTAGGCTGGGATATGAGGATGCATCTAGACAAGCCCTAAAATAGTCTTGGCCCATAACATATTGCCAGGGGCATCCTGAAAGAGTTTGGGAAACAGTCTGGTATCAAGTTGCCAATGCCTAGGGCTGAGGCTGAAGCTCAGTGGTGGAGTGCTTGCCTAGCATCGCAAGGCCCTGGGTTCAATCCCCAGTACTGCCAGGAAGGGGGGAAAAAGTCAATGCTCTGAGTAGCTGCCCCAATCCTGGACCTCCCAAGTCATTCTATGATTCACAACTGCCCCCTTCTTCGGGGGAGGCTCTGAGCGTGCCATGGGGAAGAGGTGCTCTCCTGCCAACCGTTGGTTACTACTATTCTCTTGCTTTGGCTAAGACTAAGAACAAATCAACTGAAGTACTCTTTCTCAATCCCTGTGCAGGGAAGGCCACATGGATAACCTAAAGTAAGGGACAGAACCACAAATGGATATTGGTTCAGGGGTCCCTGTAGTTAAAAAAGGTAATCTAAATATAATTTTTCTTTCAACCCTCCTCTCACCTCACTCTCAAACCCAAGTTACTCACTGCTTAGCCTACAATGAAGCCAAGAAATCAGAATTTAGTACCAAGTTTTGGTTTTGGAATGCTGGGGACAGAACCCAGGGCGTTGCACATGCTAGGCAAGGTTCTACCTCCCCGAGTCCAAATGCCAGGTTTTGAACAGATTCTACCCATCACCACACCATTAAAATACAGTTATCGAAGAGCACAGGCAGGTGAGGCCCTGCAAAGGCCAGGGACGGGAAGGAAGGGGAGAGAGAGAGCACTAGATCAAACTTGTGTGTGAGAGGTGGGGGAGGAGAGCACTGGAGTGAGGCTGCAGCTAGGGAACTGGGCTTCGCTCCAGAGCAGGTTGGAAGGCTCTTCATCCCCACGCTGTCCCTGCAACAGCCCTGCCATGTGGCCAATCATTTTTTTCACTGGCCTGCGTGGGCCCACTCCTCAGTCTGGCAGTTCCCTAAAGACAGGGAGACAATGTCCCCCCCAGCCCCGCAGTGATGTTCTCTTATCACTCACATTCAGAAGGTACACCTGGTAGAAGAAATTAACAGTTACTCAGTGTATCACTCCAACTTATCTACTTTTTGCTTAAAAACATTTATTTAAAAAAAGAAAGAAAAAAGAAAGGAAAACCTCTCTGCTTCTCCCCAGAAACTTAAGTGGGAAGGCAGGAGAAGACCGACTGCCCCCACCAACGCCAGCAGCCTGTATGGAGAGGAGCTGTGGGAGGGAGGGACAGAGAGAAGCTCCTGCCAGAGCACAGGCCCAAAGTGACAGATACCTAAGGTCAGAAAACAGATTATCCCGAGGGGACCAAAACTTCAGGATGTTGACTGGAAAACTAGAATTTGAGAACAATTATTCTGAAAGCCTGGGCAGTCCGAAGAGACAGGCCATGCACATGACCTCTAACTGCCCTTGGGCTCCAGGATTTGCTGGACATAGTTGACAACATTGCTGTGGAGCTGGGAGGCAGTGGACGCAAAAGTCTCCTTGGCGAGGGTCTGGGCCACTTCACTGCCACTCATCATGGCGTGGTACAGCGGAAGGGTATACTTCTGCTTCCCCTGCAGAAACACATGCACGGGCTCTGAGCAGCTTGTTGTTGTCTTCCCAGCCCTCTTCCCCTGGAAGCAGTCTAACAGGGATCATGGTCAAGTGCCAAGAGGGATGTGGAACCAGAATTGAAATAGAGAGCTTCCCAGTCAGAGGTGCTCTGATTCTGGCATCTTCTCAGGTGGCAAAGATCCATGGAGATAAATCTCAACATGCATCCAAAGCCAGGATAACATAGGGACCCCTACATCCACAGAACAAATGAGATGGGTTAACACAAAGGGACTGCCAACTTTTGGAGAGCTGGAGGTGGTCAGCTACCAAGGTAGTGACAGACATAAAAGGCGGCAGCACAGGGCTGGGGTGGGGCTCAGTGGTAAAGCACCCCTGGGCTCAATCCTTAGTACCATTAAAAAAGAAAACAACTGGGCTGGGTTGTGGCTCAGTGGTACAGCGCTTGCCTAACATGTGTGAGGCCCTGATCCTCAGCACCACATAAAAATAAATAAATAAAGGTACTGTATCCATCTACAACTAAAAGACTATATATATATATATATATATATATATATATATTTTTATTAAA